AATCAAGATTGAAGCTTTAATTTAGATATTTGACTATCATAAATATCAGGAATTTTTAACCGAGTTTTTAAGCATTGAATATATCCACTGTTAAGGCTTTTCAGACATTGAATCGCTTACAACTCAGCCTTAAAGAAACGTTAATCCAACAATTCATTTAAAAAATTGTTAAGCAACTCTGATCTGGAATACCGTGAACGTATATTCAATGCTTAAAAACCCAGTTAAAAAGAATAATTTTCGAGGTTAAAGCCTTGCTCTACAAGATCTTGAAGAGTATTTTGAGATTAGTTTATTTTGAAGCGATTTCTACCTTATTTTTCAGGCCAAAATGGTTCAAACAGTCATAACGCTGCCATGTGATGATTATAGATTTAGTTTTAGAAAATAATTATTTAATTCAATAATCTATCATAAAATATGTAACAGCAGCCTGCAGACCTATGATTTGGACATATACGCAACTAGATTTATCCAACACACAAGATAACATCCTCATAAAGGAAACATCATCACAATGACATTAGTTATAGAATTCTATTTTTTTTTTAATTGAATATTTTTGGGGAAAGCACATTAATGTTTATTGCCTTCTCTTTCTCTTACTATGTATAATGAAGGAACTTAAGATAACTCTCAGATCAGTAGCGGATTAAAGTACTTAATTGTTCAAGAATGTAACATCTGAAACTTATCCTGTGGTTTTCGAGCGTTTATAATTTTCCATGTTTGTCTCACCAATCAAAACCACATATGTTTAAAATTCTTTTTTATTGAACGACGTTTCGGTCCCAACGATGACTTTCTTCGAGTTCTTCAAGATGGCACCGCGCAAAACCAGCAAAGCTCAGGACCGCCTGGGTTAGGCAACCCGTTCCCAAAAAGACTTCCTGCCCGTCAAAGCGACACGTGAGCATGATGTTAATTTGTACCAGATACGTTACCCTCTTCCATCGTCCCGAAAATGCCGAAAGTCCTCCGAAAACCCACATAGAACTGGTTTCATAACACACCGGTTAAATGCTATACAATCTTCGTCTAAAATGCTGGATGTGCATTGTTTATGGACTGAAATGCGAGAAATAGTACTTCGACATCCAAAAGCTTGTATGTTTGTCTTGTGAAGAAACAAAATTAAGAGAAAAGCTTTTCCTAGAAAACATACTTTACAACATCAGTTATCATAAAAAATTTATTAAATCTCAAATTCAAAGACTCAACTACAACCACAACTAGTAAACTCTATATACCATATCACGTAAGAGGTTTGTCAGAAAAAAAGATGTTTGCAAAAAATTTAATATCAGAACTGTCTTCAAAATAACTAACACACCAGGATCCCTATACTGTGCTACACAAAACCTTCTAATGAAAATATATACACAAAAACGTCAATCTATAAAATAATGTAGTGTAACATCAAGACTGGTTAAATGTAGAACAAAAGAACATAAAGGCTATATAACAAATGCAGCAACCTAAAAAACCAGCACTAAGCGAACATAGGGCAACAGCTCATATAAAATTAAACAACAATTGTCTTTCTACTTCTTATGTGGACTGTGAACAGTTTGGTTGAGTATCCGTGAAGAAAAGATCTAATTGATATTCTCCAACCAAACTAGTGCATCATGAGTTTTTTATCAAGGTTTGTTATTTTACCTTAAATGCTCAATGTTTTACTTCACCATCTCAAGGTTAAACTGTTGTGTTTTATATTAATTCCTCGCAAGAAAAGCAGCATGGTTCTCTTTAGATGTCGAAGTAGTATTTCTCATATTTCAGATCCATAAACAATACACTTCGAAAGCGCTTTAGTCGAAGATGATACAGCAATTAACCGATGTGTTGCAACAGTTCTGGGGTTTTCAAGGGATTTCTGGCATTTTTGGGACGATGGACGAGGGTGTCGTGTCTGATACTTTACGACCTCAGATAGCCTCATGTTCGCTTATCACTGGGCGTTGCTAGTTTTGCCATCATGCAATTGATTTGCAGGCAAATTATTTATTCCACTTCTCTCAATAACAATAGGCTGAGCTTATGTCATTTAATTTTGTACAATCATGGGGAATTATAGTTGATATTTTTGGAAAGCACTGTGGAAAAACAGCATGGAAAATGGGATGTCCGTCCAGTACATTACTTTTATAGCATCAGTAACCGTACCGTATCAAGATGTATGAAAAACGTAAGCTTAAATATAACGTTGAAAGAATACGGAATGACAGGTGGATTCACTACAAAGAGTAGTTACAACGTTGATGGAAAAAATCATGATCAGGCTACTGAAAAGAAATACAAAGGATAATAAGAAAGAGTTTGCAATAGTGGCCCAGTACCGTTTATAAAATAGACTGTATCTGGGTAAATATTGATATCCATATTTTTTATATTCTTAATGTATTACAAAACAGACTTATGTTTCTTTACCAGCAAACCATAAATATATAGTTATAAATGTCCATGGAGTAATTTTGTCAGAATCGCCTTTTGTCTGAGAATTTGTCCTCTCCGTCTCCTTTTTCGAAAATGGTCAAACTACAGTGAACTTTTGGAAACCGTGGAGCTTAAAGGAATCAGCACTCATAACCAATTCTCTAACATTGAAGAAGGTCGCTGTTGGGTCCGAAATGTTCGATAAAGAAAAATTTTAAGCATGTCATTTTGATTGGCAAAAAAATAGAGGATTATCCCGGTTCAAGGTTTAACAGCTGAAAACATTGAAAAGTCCTATACAGCATGTTATTGCTAATATTACACAACTCATAAGGAGTGTATATTAGAAACTCCGGATCCAGCGATGTGTGCTTTAGCAAAGCAAAATGTGCAATATCAGTGCTAACATACTGTATACAAAAATGCATAAATATATACAACGGCTAAATGGATGCAGGCTATTTTTTGCATCTGAGAATTATCCCAAAAAAATGTTTCAATTCGATCAAGAAGCTAGACTGTATTGCTCTTTACGAAAATATTTCTTTTTGGCTCACAAATACTATCTGGGGAACTTTATCTTGAAGCAATAACTATAGTGTATTTTTTCAATTTCTCATAAGATCTAGCCAAAAACGGGATATATAGGCGGGAAAATAATGAGAGGGATAGAATACTGTTTTTAATAAATCGTCTTTCACAAACTGGACTAAATTATGATCTCACATGCTGTGCATTTAATCCATCACATATGTGAGAATGTGTTGTGTTTTAGAACATGCTGAAAATGGAAAATCCCGTTTGAAGCCTGACTTTAACACGTCAAAAAAGAATCTCTATATATTATCCATCTCCAACAGAAAAAATATAACAATGTATCACTTTGCACACCTCAAATCTCGACAGGAACTCACTCACCTTTAAACTCCACTTATGAATACAATATATACAGTATGACTCATTGAAAGCTGGCGTATTTTACAAATTCCGAATCGATGAAGAATTGCAAATATACTTCATGGAGCTCTATTAAAAATGTTTTTATTCAATGTCATACTACTGAATTGCTGTCTTGCGAAAATTCGATTTGCCATCTTCATACGTTTTACCCAATTTTATAAATTGTCATTTCTTTTTTTAAACGTAGAAAAAGCACATACAGGTCAAACACCTGGAAATATTTTTTAGGTACTAATAAAACCAAAATTTCTTAGAGAGATCCGCAATGGAATTTTTTCATATTTTTGTCTCGTGAAATAAAAGTCACATGTAAAGTATTATTTCATTGTGAAAACAGGCGTGAGATACGTGCGATAATCTCATGAAACAATGTCTCGTGAGAATTTAATCTCTTGTACAAGTTTCAGCGTGTATATCTCGAATCTCACATGAGACATTTATTTCACTTGCTGCACGTGAGTTACGTTGTTGAGTGAACCAAGTGAAAGGACTGTTTGAAAAGGAAAATTTCTAGTTTCAATTAGACTAGAGCCGTTATAGTAGAGTTATTTGAATCTCATCCCAATTTCTGGGACTGCTCTTCAGAAAGTTATAAAAATAGAAATCTGAGAAAATCAAAAAGTTTGCAATACAAAAACAAGACACACATATGCGAAATGCAATTTCAGCGGTTAGCCGTCACTATCTGTTATTTTTCTGTTTATACCTTGGTACTGGCAGCAAAGATAATATATTTTATCCGTGGCTTATATCCACTTTTCTGGAAATTTCGTCTATATCGGATTTTCTCAGATTTTTATTTTTATAGCTTTATGACGAGCAGTCCCACAAATTGGGGTATAACTCTACTATCATAGCTCTAGTCTTCTAGACCTCTCTTTTCACTAGATCACTAATTTCCCTAAACTAAGTGTTGTCACGATATAATAACGTAACTCACGTAAGGCAAGTGAAACAAATACATTATGTGAAATTCGCAATATACAGGGTGTTAATAAAGTATGTAGACAAACTTTAACCATCGAATCCTTGGTGAATTAGAAGACTAAATGTTCATATGAACATGGGTTCGTAACGGCTTTCTTTTCGAGCTAGAGCACTATCACTAAAGAAGTACGAGCAATATTCCAAATATTTCTATGAATAGAAATAGAATAGAAAATAGTGAATAGTTTTTTTTACAATAAATGTTCAAAGTGGCGACCGATTATTTGAGAAAATAAATTAATGCAATTGTCTTCGGGTACGTCATAGGTGTCAATATAAGCACAATGCTTAAATATTAAAAGTATTGCGATCCAAACAAATCAATGTCATGCTATTTTTTCAAAAAAATACTGGATAACATTGTCCGTATCTACATACATGGAGGATCTCAAAAATAACTGTAAATCATGTGATATTCACCACAGGGCATACTTAATTAAAATAAAATACGTTCCATTCTTTTGTAATTTTTTAGAACAATATCATTTCTTTTAGAGCTAATATGCTCTAGCTTGAAAACAAAGCCGTTGCGGACCCATGTTCATAGGGAAATTTCGTCTTCAAATTGACCAAGTATTCGATGCTTAAAGTTTGTCTATTAACTCTCATGAGACATTGTTTCGCGAGATTACCTCCCTTACGTTACGCCTGTTCCCACAATGAAATAATACTATTCATGAGATTTTTTTTCACGAGACAAAAATACCATGAAAAATCTCATTGTGGATCTGCACCTCATCGGCACTTGCAAAACTAATATCAATGAATCATCTTGTATATACAGATGATGTTGCCGTAAATTAAAATTCGATGTGTATACATACAAAATTATGTGCGTTTATGTTGTATTTACGTGGTCCAAAAAGGCGTCGTCCTATAGAATAGTCGTAACAGTCTATGAAGAGCGTTCGGATGCAATGTTCAAGCGATGTTCGACTATTTTCCACTGGGCGGTAAGCCGGACTGTTTATTTCCCTTGCTGCGGAAGAAAAGAAAATCATGATCACGAGATTTTCGATTTTTCAAAGCATACCTGTAATGAGAGATTAATAAAACTGAAAAATATCACTGGAAAAAATTCTCAAATATCTCTAGTCGACGTTGCCCAAATACTTATTGTGTTTTGTTTGCATTTTTTTGCAAATCTCAACTTAGTATAAGGTAACTAGTTTCTCAACACAGTTGGGTAGACATGTAGTCGATATACGTGCCTTTTCCCAGTAAATAATGCACTCATGAAATAGTAAGTTTGGCGTTCTCATGGACTCTTAATTTCACTTTCCTGATATTATAGAACAAAACAATTGTTTTGATATTGTTCGAGTAAAATTGGGGGGTATGCGTTTGAAACAAAATGACTCATTTTTTTGGGATACCCTAATATACATATACCATGTTTTTTGTACAATTTTAGGGCTTTTTAGGATTTGGCTCCATGAGAAAATATGCTCTCCCTCGTTGTTCAAAAAGTTTTGTAAGCAGTTATCCACTCACAAAAAAGTTATTTCTTGTCGATAGATGGCCCTCCCCCTTCCCCTGAGAAAAATTCCTGCGGGTGCTTTATGATCGAAGCTATGTATGACTATGGGTTCACATCCACACATTCAGTCGAGCAGGGGAGGCCGGCTGCTATACACATGCATGGGCAGGAACGCGAAGAGTATGAAAAACTCGCGACTCTCGGAAATATTTCTCCACCATTAATGATAAATGTACGGGGAAATCTATGGCGAGTGAAATATATCTAAAAGTGTGTGTAGTTATCCCTACTGAGTGGGGCCGTGGCAAATGCTTGTTCCGGAAGTTGTTGTATCCAGTATACAACTTCTTCCCGTTCAAGTGATTGTCCACGCGTTAAGGAATACCTCAGTACCGATTGCCGGTTGGCGGTACAAGTCCGCCAACGCGCCACTTTAGGTCTATTTAACCTCACTAACACGTAAAAAGAATGTGGTAGACAAGGACCAGTCGACCGAGGCAGTACCACCCGCTAGCTTTTCCTTTGTCTTATAAATGTTCGCATGTTTCCACACCTAAGCTATGCAGTCGGTTATCCTCCAAAACAAAGAAATTAATGATGATGGATCCCTCGAGCACTAAGAACACCGGACGTAAACTCACTCCACTCTCGGAATGTCCGGGTGGAGGGTGGGCTCGAGGGAACAACATCGAAGATAAAATTTGTTTTTCGAACATCTGCGGGATTAACAGCAACACTGATGCTGTTCATCACTACCTGCAATCTAATCGTCCCGCAGTGCTTTTCTTGGCGGAGACAAAAATCTCAGAGTCTGCACCGATTAACCATCTTAACTTCCCCAACTACGAGGTGCACTCCAATCTGAAAAAGAACGGGGGAGTTGTGGCTTTTGTCCGCAGCAGTCTTTCCTGCTCCAGAGATGTTTCTTTGGAATCAGACCGGAAGGACATTCTGTGGCTTCGCCTCAACTCCAAAACATCACCCAAGTTTTTTTGCTGCCTTTATCGCTTTCCCTCGGACCATAACTGGGATGAACTACTCGAATACTCGCCATCCAGATCGACTTCCTGAACATCAATCATCCCGCTTCAGAGGTAGTTCTTCTCGGTGATTTCAATGCCCATAACGAGCTTTGGTTGGGCTCAAACAAGACCGACGCAGCAGGTCGTGCAGTCGAAGCGTTCGCTCTTACCCAAGGGCTGACTCAGCTGGTGACGAGTCCTAACTTTTTTACCCCGCGTCTCGTCACACGAAAGTAGCCTGCTGGATCTCTTTCTGACCACGCATCCTGCCCCTTACAGCACTGCTGTCCTGTCCTCCCTGGGTAACTCAGACCACGGTGTTGTGGAGGTTAGGTTTCGGTCAGAACCCGCTGTGGCAGCAGAAACTCGTACAGGCCGCAAAACTTGGCATTACGGACATGCCGACTGGGAGGGGCTCAGAGGTTTCTTCTCTAGCTTTCCTTGGAAAGCTGTCTGTCTCACTGACGCGGATGCGTCGGCTATCTGTTCTTCGATAACCGAAATTATCCACGTCGGAATGGAGGAATACATCCCTCACACAGTGAAAGTGCCTAGACCAGGGTCCAACGGCTGGTTTAACAAATCGTGTGACGCTGCTCGCCAGCAGAAGATCAAGGCACATAGAATTTTCTTACAAAACCCCACTGTAGAGAACAGACAATCCGACGTTGAGTCCAGAAACAAATATAAAGCAGCGGTTCGCAATGCCAAAAACCAGCATGATATAAAATTTAGGCACAGGGTAATGTCGCAGCGCAATGGCAGTCGGTCTTTCAGGACGCTGGCCAAGCAGATTGAAAAGAACTTCTCACACAGTAGCCTTCCACCACTTACGTGTCAGGATGGAACTATTGTATTCAACTCAAAGGCCAAGGCGGAAGTGCTAGCCAAGATCTTTGCTGCCAATTCCACCATGGACGTCCCCCCAACGCCCAAGTGCCGTCAATTCAAAGGGTTCCCTACACTATGCGGGAGGTAACATTCAGGCATAAGACCGTAAGACGAGTGCTCTTGTCGCTCGACATCAACAAAGCTTCTCGTCCGGACTTGATTCCTGCCATTGTACTGAAGAGGTGTGCACCGGAGCTTGCTCCAGTTCTTTCGTGTCTCTTCCAGATATCTTATGAATCCAGCACCTTCCCAAAAAACTGGAAATTTGCTCATGTCCAACCCATCCCAAAAAATGGATCTTACAACTACAGGCCTATAGCTCTGCTTTCTGTTTTGAGTAAGGTGATGGAGAGGTGCATAAATCGCGAGCTTCTGGACTTCCTCGAACGTCACGGCTTGATTAGCGACAGGCAGTATGGTTTCCGGCACCAACGATAAACAGGGGACCTCCTAGCTTACGTCACTCAATTGTGGAGTAAACTCATCCAGTCTTATGGTGAGGCTCATGTCGTTGCTCTTGACCTCACGAAAGTGTTCGATCAGCTGTGGCACGCTGTCCTCTTGAGCAAACTTCCATCCTATGGCCTCCCAGGAAAGCTTTGCAGATGGGTGGCTGACTATCTCTGGCCGCAAGATATCCGTCGTAATTGACGGATTCTCCTCTTCATCCCACAACGTCAAAGCGGGTGTTCCCTAGGGATCGGTCTAGGCTCCGACACTGTTTCTCTTACATATCAACGACCTCCTTTCCTGCACGATCAACCCAATTCAGAGTGACAAGCCGATCTCTGCCGCTGAGTTGGAAAAAAGAAGACTGCAGTTCAATGATTCCAAAACGCAGTACTGTACTTTGACGAACAAAAAGCGTCCCTGCGCTCACCCGGTTTCGATGGATGGTCGAGTTCTGCCAAAGAGCCATTCATTTCGGCTCGTCGGAGTCCAGATCACCGAGGACCTGATCTGGCACGAACACATCTAGTCAATAGCTGCAGCTGCTGGAAAAAAGCTAGGCTATTTGTGTAGGGCTGAGAAGTACTTTTCTCCGCATGACCTTCTCACTCTATAGAAGGCCCAGATAAGGCCTAGCCTCTAACAGACAGTCTCGGGACTCTTTCGCACCGGCGGGCTGTCGGCGATCTGGCTCGTTTCTACCGTTACACCAACGGGCTTTGCTCCTCAGAGCTCTCTTCCATGATGCCGTCGCGCGATGTGCCTGCCAGACAGTCCCGCCTAACTTTGGCGTCCCATCCTAACCGTGTCAAACTTCGTACATCCAGAACCGGCCGATACGACCGCTCCTTTGTCCCGAGGGTGTCGAGATTGTGGAACAATCTACAAGAGGAAGCTTTTTCCAGTTCTATTAACCTTAGGCAGTTCAAAAATCGTATTAATAAAATTTCCTTGGGATCATCATAGCAGCCGCGGTGTTCCGGCATTTAGGCTTCTGCCTGCGCGGCTGCTTCGTTATAAAAAAAAGTAGGATTACCAAGGCTATAACCATATCACTGCCAAAAAATTAAGATATACCCCCCTACAACTCCCACCCCCAATTCTTTACCAATTATTTTTTTTCAAAAATGATCAGAGCGCACTTGAAACGTCAAAAAACGAAGTTTGAGCGATTTTTATCTTTAAACCTTTTGCCCCTCGGTCTGCCGATACCAGATAAATTTTCAAAAACTGTAGCTTTTTGGTCCTCGACATAGACGTAGAAAGCAAAAACTAAAGAAACACGCTTTAATCGCAAATGGAACTAAAAAGTAGTATGGGTGCTATTCACATTAGTGATTTTTATTTAGGTGTTTCATACTGATCACAAATATGCAATTTTATGGTAATTTGTTGCGTAATACTTACTTGTTCTTCTTATTCTTGTGAGGTCTACTATCCGCATTCTGACTAAAATTCTGATTCTTATTCACAGATGATGTTTGTTTGTACACGTTAGGCTGGTTCCTTGTCGACATCAGCCGAGGATCACCTAGATAACAAAAGTATTAATGACGTAGCTGGTAAATAATTTATGTATTTTACATTTTTTTATCATCGCATCTATAGAAGCACATACATTCAACACAGGTTGGAGTATTTTAAATCTGGAGATACTTGCTAGATGAATAAGGCAAAACTAATAAGACATGGCTAATATGGGGTGGATATCTAATTTCATTAAGGATATAATAAGTACTCTATACTGTTCTGTAAAATTCTAGAAGCCATTTTTCTTGCACTTGCTCATGATTAAGTGTCCAGTTTTGTAATTAACATACTGGAATTTATTCAACCAGGCTTGAGCATGTACAATTAATAAAAGACGCCGGCCGTATTTCGGCAACCATTCTACCTACAGCTATCAGTTCAAAAATCGCATAACAAAAGTGGACAAGAAAATATATATAATTCTAAAAGTGGTATTAATAGTCTCCGAAGATCTCGGGTCCGCGTCTTAGAATATCAGAGGTCACACAAATCGTTTTTTTTTGCAAAGATCTTGTTTTCTATGCGTTTCATTATGAATACTGCAGACAATAAAATGCTCTACAACTTTTGTTTTAAACATTTTTTTCATACTGTTAAACTGTTTTGAGATAGCGGGCGGACAGAGTGCAGCTCTTAGCTATTTACAACATTTTGGGAACCTCAGGAAGATGATTATAAAAGTGGATTCCATAACAGTTACAGCCGTTTCTAGTCCTTTGTAGTCGATGTTTAGGAATATCTAACTTATGCATGTTATGTGTATTGTAACTATGTCCATCAGTGTGCGTTTTGTATAGATACAAATTGTTATGTACATAACATAAGCAGATAAATAAACAAGAAATGTAAGAGTAAGGATTTTTAGGTTGATGAATGCCTCCCCAGGGCCTTTTTAGTTCAAATTACTTAGGCATATGCACAAAGTGACACCAGTCAAGGGTGCGCATGATATTCTTGAGTGGAGGTATCCATTAGATGTGGTTAGCAACGTATGACTAGAAACATTGCTTTTCAGATTCCTAATTAAAAATGTGTATGTGTGTGTGTGTGTGTATGTGTGTGTATATGTATGTGTGTATTTGTGTATGTGTGTATGAGTGTATGTGTGTATGTGTGTATGTGTGTATGTGTGGTATGTGTGTATGTGTGTACGGGTGTATGTGTGTATGTGTGTATGTGCGTGTGTGTGTGTGTGTGTATGTGTGCGTGTGTGTGTGTGTGAAGCATTGAATGTCAGTTTATTTGCTAAAAACCATATAAATTTTGTATATTCTTTTATTCGCAGAATAGAGTAGATCAATCGATTTACCACTACAAAGCATTCTTGTGTCATCGGCGAACAGTGTAAGGTTTTTGATCGTACTACAATTAGGAAAGCCATTGACATATATTAAAAATAAAAGTGGTCCCAGCACGGAACCCTGTGGGACGCCACGTCGTTATACTGGAGGTAGTGTGGTTGAAGGTTATAAGCCGCTGTCTGTTGCTCAAACATCTTTGATAGCTTAAGACTCGGACCCAAGATTCAAAGTCGTGACCAAAAATGAAACATCATACACTGGACCGCATTTCAAGGGGGGTCTTATGTGTAACATTTTTTCCTCGAGGAGTTCATTAAAAAGATAAAAGATTGAAGTTTAAAACCCTCAAGATTTTGTGTGTGGATTTACCTAAGTATTGTCCACATTCAACAGTCATTACTTAAAATTGAAAATTTCGCCGTTGCACTTCTCCGGATTGCAGACTTTTCAAATTTTGCCGATGGCAAGGATGTAAGACTTCCCGATCTGAAATTCTCCACGCAAGACTTTGGGAACTTGGTAACTGGGCTGCAATCCGTCTAGTACTTGTACTAGGATCACCCAAAGCCAAATTAATCACTTAAAGTTTGGCAATTCCATATTGCCGAAGTCTTTGAAATGAACGCGTAAAAAAGACTTTTGAATGTGGAAAATGCTTGGGTAAATTCACATATCAAATTTCATTTAATTCCAGTTGACGGTTTTGAAGATATTAAAAAAAATGTTTTTTTATTTTTAAACTTCAACACCCCGTATCTTTTTAATGAAGCACTCGAGGAAAAAAGTTTACATAGAAGACTCCCGTTAAAAAGCGGTCCTGTGTATGATGTTTCATTTTTGGACACAACTTGTGAATCACCCTGTATAACTAAACTATATTTCACTTTTCACAGGAAAGAACATGTGTGCGTCTAACGACAGAATAGCACTAAAGCTGCCGAGTAATTTTTTACAGCCCAGGTTAGCCACTGCTTTAACGGCTGCCATTTCTAGCGGTATTGCAAAAAAAAACGCTACAAAAAGACGCTTGAAACATATTACGCTGGTACCGGGTTAGAAACGTTCGCATATGGCCTGCAAATATTGAAAATGTACTTACTGGGAACTACATATGGCATTCCTTGAAAAATATTGGGCGGTGGAAAAGACATCCTTTGCCTTTCCAAATGTGACATTTCACTGGCAGGCGTTGGAGATCTGCTACTCCTAGCTGTCCCAGGGGTGTTCATTCGCATACTACCCATCTGATGACAGAAACCGAAAATATTCAATAAAGCATTTATTGTATATGTGACGGGCACAGAGACTAGAGATAGGAGGTTAAACTCATAGAGTGGGGGTAAAGCCACAAATGTCGACCATGAAGTAATTTAGTACACAGCGCAGGAAAGAATTTCATGTGCTTCTTTCTCGTATATACGCTGTGTAGCATCTCTTTTCTATATCGCTCATATCTTGGAAGCTATCAGCTTTAGAGAAAAGTTCTAAAACTAGAGTATGTGTCGGTTGACCGTGGGAAAATTCTGCTGAACGTGGGAAAAACTGTATCATTTGATGAATGCTCATATTCTACTTCTAAAGCGTCTTTTTTGTTCAGAATGTTTTAAAAAACTTAAAAACACTGATCGAAGGGACAAAAATCAACTCTTAGGATTTGTTAAAAAGAAATGTTAAAAAAAATTTGAAACTGGCAACATCCGGAATTAAATTATGCAAAAACCCGAATCAGTATATTTTCCCATCAGATGAGCAGATATTACCTGCAGGGTTATTATGGAAAAAAGGCTAGCACTATTGCTAAAAATAGAGTCGGTGTTCACAAAAATTATAGCCTTCTGGAATTATGTAACTATGCGTTTTAGTCCACCTATAATTTTTATCAGGGGCTTATGGGTTCTAGTCCCCACAATTTGGCAACGTCCTAAAGCGGTTGTTCTAAGACACCTGTCCTACTAACCTTAATTTTGTCATTTATGAAAAGCTTTGCAAACTTTGCTACCATCTCTGCACATGTCAAAAAAATAGGTGTTCCACGATTGTTCGGCGCTTCAGTTCTATTTTCTAGGTTCTAACTGGATAACTTGGATAAACCATACTTATTTTTTTATCATATCAATATCGATAATCTCATTCATTCAGTCTCAGTAAGTAGTAGCCATTCTTTCTTTAGATTTTCATTGCCAAATGGCATAGAAACCCGGCCCACATTCGTGTCCATACAATCTACTTATGAGTTTAAACGTATTATCAGTATCAATAATTTGCGACATAGTCTTTCCATGTGATAATTTCTAGACAGCTGGCAAAATAGTATTGACATAAGTCTCTTTGAGCCGCATATGTCTGCTAGCTACAAAAACGACTATACTTATAACTACCTGCCTAGTCCCCAAACGGACTGGAACCAGTTATTTGATTCCAAAACGACAACAATAACTAAAAGTCCGCTGTCACGTGACGAAGTGACTACAGGTAGGGCTATACTTTCTTTTATGGTTACAATAATTACGAACTATACCACGTTATTTAACAAGAATAGTTAGTTAGTTAGTTAGTTAGTTAGTTAGTTATGCACTTTATCAAATACTTCATAAAAACTACATTTCCTAAGCATAAAAGCAGCAACTCAATTTATCAAAGCAAAAACGCAGCAGTAGCAGTAGTCTTCAAACTATACTGTTTTCATTCTCTGTATGATACAAGTAGTGCCTTTTTTCCTTTTATAACCTATTATGACGTTTACTTATTTAGTGTTTTTGCAATAATTCTATTATTTGTGAATAAGTATTTATCGTTATAAATAATTGCTTTTACTTCAAAGGAATAATTTTGAAAAACATTCATTGTTTAGCTTAATATATAAGAAAATGGTGTAATTATGAATAAAATCATATAATTATCAAATTCAATTGTCAGAAGTTGGAAAGGTTTACTTTTGTGCTATTTATGTGAATTTCAATATGAATAAGTTATACATTACTGCCATTTTTCCTTCGAAAAATAATATAAATAGACTATGAAAACTACGAAAAAAAGGAAGTAAATTTGTTTTTGTAGATTATAAAATCAGTAAATCACATGTTACTGCTTTTTGATTTACGACAATTAAAGATGGAATGTCATTTACTTTAGACCTCGATAACAATTATATCCCAAAATCTCATTTAAACTACTCTAAAAAGTCATGCAACTTCGGAATATGAATTCGCCTTTGCTGTGTCGTAACAATACTATGTATTTAGTTCGAAAAAATCTAAAATTTTGAACTCTATTTTCTCAGACTTCTAGTTTTACACGTTACTGTCTTTTACCTAAGTAAGGCAGTATATGCCCCAGTTCTAGCCGGCTATAAAATTACTTAATAACACTGCTGAACTAACTTTTCATTTTCTTTGACCAGAAGACATAACTCTAACCTGTTTGAAAAGGACCGGTGGCGGCGGGCCGGGCGGCATACTGAACATTCCTGCCCCAGGATGAGGCGGTACGAATCCGGTGAAATGCGGCGGCAGAATTCCTTGCGCCGCCGGGGGCGTATCAGGAGGTGTCTTGTAGTATCCTGGCATCGCTACTGAAGGTGGTATCGCTACCACGGTGGTTGCTGGGGAATTGGTACCGCCGCTACTACCCCCGTTTCCAACAGACGACTGACGGCTCAGGTATTTGCCATTTGACTTAGTATTGAAGTACTGTTGCGATGCTGGACGAGTACGGTACTCCATCTGGCCAACTGAAACGAAACATGTAACTTTAGAGAAAAACACGGTTGTATTGAGTTGTCGTCTAGTAGCCTATGAAACCAAACTAGGTGTGTGTACTGATACGATAGATAAAAACGCAAGTTTGCTGTTTAGTACCAAAATACGTACGATTTGATTATTCAACATTCCCTACCAGTACGCGATGTAACCAAAACTTTGCGGGTCAGCTCTTGGGCTACTGCTGGTTTACAAATAAAAACAGCGATCTATGTGTCAATGGCTACCGAAGCAGTGTTGCCAAGCTGCCAAAACATATTTATAAAATGCTATATTTATACTAAGTTATACTAAGCAGGTCAGGCAGTCTAGATAACTCGAGGTCACGACAAATACACCGACGATTGCTCAAATAAGCAATTTGAGATTAGAAAGCTTTTGAATTCCAAGCTGACGTACTTCTTTTATTACAAAAGTAAGTTGCCTATGCCCCTAGAAGTTAAATAGATATGTGATAACGTACAGCCGTGACTAGACGCCATCAGCTGTTTTGTGGACACCATGTTTTAGAAGTCATCTCTTATCTCTCTTTCTAACTTTATCTAACTGACTCCTCTTTATATAGGGTGGTCGATATGTAACTGACTGGTTTGTATCTGGAATAATTGTGAAATTAAATAAAATACGTCAATTTTTGTCATCTTAATATTTTATTGAAACTTAGAAATTATGTATGAAAAATAGTATCAGACAAATGTCCGCCTCTAGAAGCCGCGCAAACCTGAGCCCTTTTGATTAAATTTTCCATCATTTTTTGGTAGGTTTCTGGAGGAATATTTTCAATCGCTTCCGTAATATTGTCCTTCAGCTGCTCTACAGTATTTGGTTTGTTGGCATAAGCTCTATTTTCCAAAAATCCCCATAAATCCGGTGACCTTGGTGGCCAGTTGACATTACCAAATCGAGAAATTAAACGTACCGGAAATATTGTTCGCAAAAGATTCCTTGTTTCCCTAGTTGTGTGACAAGTTGCTCCGTCCTGCTGGAACCACTTGTTTTGCAGGTTAAATTGTTGGATTTGAGGAGCCGGAATGTTTTGGACCATATCACGGTAGCGCTCGCCAGTGACAGTAAGAGAATGACCTACAGCGTCTTCAAAGAAGTAAGGTCCAATGACGCCCTCCATACCAAACACCGCATCAAACTGTTACTCGACGAGGATGTAGAGGTCGTTGATAAATGACACGAGGGTTCTTTAATGCCCAGATACAATTCTGCTTATTAACAAATCCATTCATATCGAAGTGGGTTTCATCGCTCATTATCAGTTGTCTGTAAAAATCGTTATTTTGGGTATTAAGCCGCAATATTGCATGAATATTGTCGGTGACTTTCGTGGCCACTAAGCTGTAGTTCTTGGGTTAAATGAATTTTGTATGGTCAAGTATTTTTTTAAAGTAGTGCATAATGACATGCGACGGATACCGAGTTCTTGAGAACGATATCTGGTAGACGTCTCAGGGTGGTCCACTATACTTTCACGAGCTCTCTCGATATTTTCCGGAGTACGAACATTTCGTTCAGGAGCCGACCTTATCCAGTCTTTAACTTCACCTGTTTGTTCAAATTTCTGCACCACCATCGAACGGTGTTGACACTGGGCACATTATTTCGACCGAAATCTCATCGTAGCTTCCGAATTGTTCAACAAGTGACTCAATATTTAAGTGTAACGTTTTGACAATCTGACGCGTTGTGGGATGGTGTAGCGCTCCATGATGAATTGGACACATGTGCTCTAAGCAACTAAAGGGTGGTCCATTTAAAATTTTTTTTTAAATGGTATAAAAAAAAACTACTAAATATTTTTCCAAATTTTTTTTTTATTTGAAAGTACAATCCTTCCGATTAAGTATGGAATACAACTTCATTTAAATGACTGCCGCGGCTGGCTTTGCAGTAGCCCATACGGTCAGTCCAATTTTTGACCACATTTTCAATCGTATGTAGCTGTATTTCAGCAATGGCAGCGCGTATGTTCTCTTTTATTTCGCCAATTGTTGCTGGTTTGTTGGCATGTTGGTCTTTAATGGCACCCCATAAATAATAATCTAATGGGGTCAAATCACAGCTCCGAGGCGGCCAAACAACATCAGAATTTCGGCTGATAATGCGATCACCGAAAACACTTCGCAGAAGAGCAATCGTAGCGTTTGCTGTGTGACACGGAGCACCGTCTTGTTGAAACCAGATGTTACCGACATCAATATTTTGAATTTGTGGAAAGAAAAATTCATTTATCATGGTACGGTAACGCTCACCATTCACAGTAACTGCTGCTCCGGCTTCATTTTCAAAGAAAAATGGGCCAATGATGCCACCAGCCCAAAATCCGCACCAAACAGTCACTCGTTCTGGATGCATTGGCTTTTCTTCGATTGCGTGTGGGTTCTCTGAACCCCAAATGCGGCAGTTTTGCTTATTAACATAGCCGCCAAGATAAAAATGCGCTTCATCTGAAAAGATGATTTTTCGACCAAAATCAACATCTTCATCAAGTTGATTGCAGGCCCATGAAGCGAAGCGAAAACGCATTGGATGGTCAGTTGGCTTCAATTGCTGAACCAATTGAACTTTGTACGCCTTCATACCAAGGTCTTTATGCAAAATTCGACCTAATGATGTGCGTGAAATATTCAATTGTTGAGAACGTTGGCGCGTTGATGTGCTTGGAGACTCTGCCACACTCTCAGCTACAGCATCGATATTCTCGGGTGTACGTACCGTTTTCGGTCTTTCACGTGTTGGTTTGTCAATAAGAAGACCAGTTTCACGAACTTTTTGCACAAAATACCTCACATACGGTGCTGACGGTGCTTCATTTCTTCCCATTTTTGCACGTAATTTTCGGACACAATCTGCAACATTACCACCACTTTCGAAATATTGTTTTAATATTTCCCAGCGTTGTTCAAGCGAATACACAACCATTTTCGTTAATCGGAATGATATGACTGATGATCTGTCAAATCAGATGCGAAATAAGTCTTGACATATCCCAAAAAACCAGTAACTCAAAAAAAAAACGATAGATGGACCACCCGGTAGTACGGCGCCACCTACTGAAATGCTTGTATCAAAAATAGTGCGAAATTTAAATCAGTCAGTAATATATTGGCCATTCTGTGTAACTGCACTTTGGTAATAATGAAGGTATATTTTTAAAGTTCTTCTCTAATCCTCGCATGATCTACCTCCATGTTTTACTGGCGCTAAAAGGAACCATAAAGGTTTACTGATGTTTCGGCCAGTTCAGTGACCTTTTCCAAAGGTATCCAAAACGTCTGAAAACTTTTATTTCTATATCTATGGTTTCATTTAGCCGCCAGTAGAACATAGAGATTGATCAAAGTTCATCTCTCATGTTACGCGGAACACTCAACTGCCCAAAAAATGTTCAGATTCATACAATGAATTTTATTAAGTTTTGAAAGAAGGAAGATATGCTAACGCATCCTGTGTATACTTTCATTTGGGACACACTATATTATTAATATTAATCCGAAATATCCTACATTCAAGGAAGCTTACCTTTCGTATTATGCTGTTGTTGTTGCATCATCATTGCCGTTGCAGCGGTATGTTGATAATGGGCCGGTGCGCCGGCGATGCTCATATGTTGCATGACGTGCGCCAACTGCGCGTAGGCCGCTGCATTCGCGGCGTCCTGCTGTGATTGGGCGTTAGGAGTGGGCGTGCCTTGGGGGTAAGGCGGCGCCGTTGCACCGCCGGTGGGTACCATGTGCCCACCCGCAGAACCGTGTGGTACTGGAGGCACAGGCGGAGATGGGTAGATCGGAGGTGCAGCATTTGCTTGAGAAGCGGCGTAAACCACCTAATATAAAATACTTAGTTTAATGCCTAGTGGTTAGAATAATTGCCCAGAATTCAATGGTGCTATTTTTAGATTAACGCTAACAGATCTATTGACCAAAATGCTGAAGGATCATATTACTTGATAATATATTCGAAGAATTAACGTCCTTTCAATCTAGAATTGTTTAAGAACTTCTATGCCATTTTATCTCTACTGTGTGAAAGATATTAGTCTTGCATGCATTTTAAATCTGAGATAAATGTTTATTTGTCATTTTACAACAATTGACCAGCTCCATACCTATCAAGTTTTGTATATCTTATTTCAGCCTTTAGTTGTAAGAACATCTGGTTTGCCTTTTCATTACTATCTTTCAGTTTTGCGATTTCGTTTCTATATTCATACAATATTGAATAAATGCATGACAATTCAAATCATAGAATTCTTTGAGACAAATAGATTTTTTCTGAAAAGCAGTGTGGTTTTAGAGCAAACAGAAAAACGACTGACGCAATCCTTGATCTGATGTGAGGTGTAACCAAGGCTTTTCAAACGAGGCAGTACAGTTCTGTCCTGTTCTGTGACCTGAGTAAAACCTTCGATTGCGTCAAACACGGCAGTCTTCTGTGACAATAGGCTTGCTATAACTTTTCCCGTGATAGCGTTACATTGGTGAGGTCTGCAGAGAAGAATATATCGGTGAGAGTGCCACATGGGCTAGGCCACTTACTCTTTCTCATCTATCTTAATGATCGCTCAAACAATCGGATGATTCCCAAATGTACCTCTCCACAGATGACACGTTAATATCTTTTACAGCTAGCTCTCTGATGGAAGTACAACAGCAAACCGACGCGTTATGTTATTTATGACAGAAATAAACATCCAAAAAGAAAATCAAGTTAATGTTTAGTGTGACTCTTGATCCTAAGATCCAATGGAAAAGCCACATTGATGTTCTATCCATTTCTCTTTCTAAGAATATTCATGTTCTCCGCAATTTATTACGAAAAGTGTCACCAAATATATTTGTTACTTGGCAGTATTCCAGTGGCACAAAGCATGTGCAATCATTGTATGAGGCCACGCTACTGAGGCAGCAGAAGAGGGCAGTTAGATTGATGACAGGGCTGAGACACAGATATGATTGCAAGCATGTGCTTATTGAATGAAAGCTGCTGACTGTGCCAAGTCTGTATGTGTATGAGTACTTCATGTTTGTTAAGACAAAAGGATATCTATATCAAACCATCGATGATGTTCACGAATATACCAGAAATAAGAGAAATTTGATCATTATCTATTGGCGGCTGAGAAGGTGTCAAGATGGTCGGGGGTTCTAGGCAATTAATTTTTTTAACAAATTGCAACTAAACATAAGATCACTGCCTTTAAATGATGAGATTCGCGTTAGAAATGTTTTGATCCAAAATGCTTTATACAAAATTAATGATTTAATAAATACCGATTTTAAGGTATTTTGTTATAGTTCAAAACGTTCAAGTGTGATGTACCATGTAAGTGGTTTTCATGCTTTATGATAAGATTATTCTTCTTCTGTGTTATGACGATCGTAAACATTTTTTGTAATAGCGTGAACAAATAAATGAAATATCCTCTTTGTTCTCCTCTAAGTTTATTTCGACTGGTTCTTACTTCTTTCACATCTGCCCATACTTCCAACATTAGATTTATGATCTTCGACAACATATCTTATTATCATCTCTTTGGGCCTCTTTTACACGCTGTATGTAAAAGGTTTTCCATTAAACACTTGACAACTTTTTAAACAATTTTATTATAAGATTGAAGTAAACTGAAAACATTTATGTATGTATTTGAGCTCGTTCATATGTCCACCACGGGCACATTCGCAGCGATCGATTCGTTGAACCCAATTTTCAATCACCCGGCCACACATTTCGACAGAAACGGCCGCTATCTCTCGTTCTATATTGGCTATGAGCTCCTCTAACGACGCCGGCTTGTTGGCATACACCAATGATTTAATGTTGCCCCACAAATAAAGTCTAAAGGTGTTAAATCACCCGATTTAGGCGGCCATTCGACAGGACTATTTCTCGATATAACACGTTCACCGAATTTTGATTTCGATATGTCGATTGTTGCAGCCGCTGTGTGGCTTTTGGCACCGTCTTGTTGAAACCACATATCATTAATGTCTAGCCCATCCAATTGACAAAAAATATAACGTTGCAACATGTCTCTGTAGCGTTCTCCGTTGACTGTAACGTGACGGTCATTTTCATCAACGCAAAAAAACGACCCAATGACACCACCGGCATGAAAACCCCATCCATACAGTTATTTTTTGTGGATGAAGTGGTGTTTCTTGAAGCACATGAGGGTTTTCACCTGACCAATGACGCATATTCTGATTGTCGACGAAGCCGTTTAGCCAAAAATGCCCCTTATCACTGAAGATGATTTTGCGATGAAATTGGTCATTTTCTTACATTTCTAGAGCCGAGTTCGAGAACGTGTCGGTCCATATGATCGAACGGCTTTAGTTCTTGAGTTAACTTGATCTTATAAGGGTGCAGGCCCCGATTTCTTCGCAAAATTCGCCATAGTGTGGTCTGAGTGACGCCCAATTCCTGAGAACGCCATGCAATCGACGGGTTCTGTTCATTTGCGACGGAAGCTTGAACGGCAGCAATATTCTCGGAACTTCGACCAACCCGTTCTCTCACTCGCACGGGAACATCCAGCAGCGAATATGTCGACTCCATTTTTTTTACTAGACTATGTCTACTGGGACGAAAATTACCACCAAAGATTGGCGTTAACGCTTTTAAAGTTGCTGTCACCGACACGGAATTTCGGTAGTAAATTTTAATTATTTGTGAGCGTTGTTTGTTCGTGTTCACCATGATGAAAATGTTTCCTTTACTAAATGTTTTGACATTGACGATTCCGTAATTGAGTTGTAAAGTCGCTATTAGAAAACTCGATATGTAACGGAATATTTCAACCTAATCTTCACCAGTCTGATTAACTTGAAAATTTGCATAGCGACCAAGGGCTAATAACAATACAATAATTTTGAAAAAAAAATCTAATTTCAAAATTGAAAACAAATTAATTTTGAAATTTGGAAAAAATTGGATTTGGAAAATATTGGAAAATTCGGAAGTTTGGAAAATAATTTGAAGATTCTGGAATTTTTTGGAAATTTTGGAATTTTAAGAAATTTATATTTATTGTCAAATATGAAATAAACCAAAAATAGGAGCTCTGGATCATAAGTACTTTGGTTGTTGTTTTGAGACTAAAAATGCAGAAAATAAATTATAATTTAAAAAACACGCTTTAATAGCAAATCGAACAAAAAAGTACAGAATAATTTTCAAGTATAGGAAAGCTTGAGATACTGCAATAGAAAGTCCGACAATCAAGTATTACTAATTAATTTGGAATAAGGACAATATAAAAATTAAGATATTAACAAAAATTTCAATTACATTAAAAAAGACGATCAGTCAAAAGTATGCACTAAAACTACGCAATTCTAGCGACAATGTAAACATATAGGCTCTAATCTACTCGAATTCGTCGATCTTACCTGAGATTGCGACTGAGGATATATGGCAGTAGGATGTTGTTGATTTTGATGATAAATAACTTGCTGATAGCTCGGATATACTGGCACCAGTTCGGGTGTCTGTGGTTGTGCGGCAATTGCTTGCTGAGCAGCACTGGGCGGAGACACATAGCTTGCTGGATATGTTCCTGCACTTGGAGGCAGAAAAGCTGGAAACAAAACACAAATCAAAAAAGTGTTGATAACCGGATAAAAGTACTTCTCCATCGCGATTTGTGTTCCTTGAAGTGACTTAGTTGGAGCAGCAGTGTTGAAAGCTTTTCAGAAGAGCGAAGGTGGATAGAAGATGTGTGACAAGCACGTTAATAATGCAGAGGGCTCATTAGATAACTTTGCTTTCTCATTTGTAACTGAAGTCAATCTCTTTATCTTCAACGCCAAAACAAGGCAGCCAGTTACTTCAGTGGGAAAGTGAAAGAAATGCAACCTTAATCGAAATCAGTGGCTGTAGTCGAGTTGGCATCACGTTGCTTTTGGTGTAATACTGCCATAGTTTAAGCGTTGCTACATTTGAATTTAAGTTTTGGAGATTATTTATATCTACCGACTTCGTTTGGAATTTTAAATTTCTATCTGACAACTCTGCATTCGTTTCAGAGAGATTGAGTTTTGTTTTCGTGTTTTTTGTTGTCACCATACCAAAATCATATGTATGAAAACCGGAATAACAATGGAAAATAATTATTTATGCGGAATAAGATTGGAAGATCTTGTGACTGCTTGCAAATGTAAAACCATTTTTAACTGCTTCGTCGATCAGTCCTAGGACATATTATAGTGTAAGGTCCGGCCACTTGAATCTACAGGTGTCTGATTTCGAAATTGAGATATTGTTTTTTGGATGTTGTATGATAGTCTAATATTATTTTCCCCCAAATAATTGTAAAGCCTGGTTTTATTGGTGCAAGTTGTTCAAGGGGGTATTTTAAACATGGACGCATAAAACGGTTACACCAATTTTTGTGGAAAAACTTTTTATTTGACAACAAAGAATGAGAAAACGTGTTTTTGGGACTCAATCAAAAGTGTTGACAGGAACGAAAAAACTTTTCCTATAAGATTTTTAAGTATTTATGAGACCTACAAAATGAGACCACGCGTATAAAGATCCGATCAATTTGTTCATCCCAAAACACCTGTTTTCCGGCCATCACTACTAGTTTACTAAGCAATATACAGGGTTCAGTCAAAGAGCAACAAAATACACGTATTTACCTTGCCGATATGAATCACAAACCATTCCGAAAGATAAATGTTATTTTCATGCGAAAAACAAAGGTTGCGTTTTTTTTTCTAAACAAATTCAAACATTTCGTATTTCTGAGTAATTGAACAAATGCGCTACAATATTCGAAAAACATACGTTACTACACACATTTTAAAACAAAGCGGATTTGTCTAACATCATTTGTTGCAAATTGCTCACAAATACGAAATGTTTGAATTTGCTTAGAAGAAAAAACGCAACCCATCATTTTTTGCATAAAAATAACATTTATCTTCAGGAATGGTTTACGATTCATATCGGCAAAGTAAAATAGTGTATTTTGCTATAAAATGATGAAATGATTTTGATAAAATTTTCATACAAAGTTACTACTATGCCAAGGATGAAAAACCTTTGTAATTTTTTGAAAATCGGTCTAGTCGTGGCGGAGCTAGGGGCAAAAACACGAAAAAAAAATAAAAATCGCTTACACTTCGTTTTTGATGGTTCAGAAGCTCGTAATCATTTTCGGAAAATTTGTTGTAGGGGTTGAAACTTGGGGGTTGTCAATGTAACGTCTTTAATATTAGTAGACATTCCATCACTTAGCTTCTAATCCCAGTAATAACGGAAAAATAAATGATAAAAGTCCGATGTATAATGTGCTCATAATTCGAAATAAATTTGCAATCGTTGGCATTGCGCGATGCTGCATCATCGTGGAGGCCACTGCAAACTGTGCAACGGGTAACAAACTTCAACTGGTCTTCGGTGGTGTCGTCACTGACGCACCGCTACCGGAGAAATATTTATGTTTTAGCAATATTTGGATATTAGGAGTACGTACCACTTTAGCTTTTGCGATGGTTATGTAAATTATGACTTAAGTGTTTTAAATCTACAAAAATATCTTTTTCTGAATTTTCTAAATTTTATTATCCTTAAATGTACTCACCCATTGTTGCATATTTGGTGTCAGTGAATACTACCACCTTAGATATAATAAGTTACACATATTTTCTCTACATCTGCCATGGAAACAGGAAAATTTACTGTATATAGTTTGATATGCAGTGGTGGAAGGTTCATCGTACTTGTGTGAACCTACATAACCACGATTCGGTTTGGCCTTTTGAAACCACTAACGAAGGCGTATGAAGTATAGAGCCAATATACTTTGTTTTTTGGGGTCTAAACCGGCATATTTCGCATTTTTTCAAATATTGTATCGCTTATATCTCGAACGCTCTCAACTTCTAAAGCGGCTCTGTTGTTCATAATGTCCCAAAAAATCTAAAGGCATTTTGACCGGAGTAAAAACAAGAATTTTCGTAATTTATTTATAAAAATTGTTTAGACTATTTTTGACGGAAAGATGAGAAGATATTGCCAGTACTAACGTTTCCGATGGATTTGTAACACCCGGTATATAGGAAATATTTCGGTTAGTTTTGAGTTTTCCCTGATGATGTTAACATAGCGAAACAAATGGTTTGTGTTAAAAACCAGTTGGAGAAGAGGTAATACCCATCTTTGCTACGCCAAAGGATTCTATATCACATAATATTCCATAATCGAAAAGGCATATCTTACCTTGCGAATGTCCGACGTACCGAGGTGTGTGTTGCGTACCTGGAGGAGGTGCCATCAACTGGCCGGCGGCTGCTCCTGGTTGTCCATTCTGATAGAAACATGCAACCGGTTGATGGTGCCAATAGGGCGGGGCTGTGCCAGGCGGATAAGATGTAACTCCACCGGCACCATCCTGGACGTAGTATGTCGTCATGTCAGTCGGGACACCCTGAGCTGCTTCCTAGAATTCATAACAGAATTTCCCTGTTATATTGTGTGTCGATTCAATACTGTTGTAGAACATTTCGATCCCTCAACTTGAACACAGAATCTTCCATTTTGCTATAGATATCAGAAACACACACTAGACGTGATAACACGTATAACCACAAATTTTAAAATTGAGGGAATGTCAGAGGCGTTTAGTCATATTTTATACGACACTAGACACAAAAGTCACGACTTAATGTCGATACTCAAATGTTGCAATGTCCACAACGCTCTAGGTTAAGGTATTAATTGAGATAAGACCCATGAATTACGTTTCTATAAATTAACCTACTTTCTAAACGAACATTACACTTCATTGGAGCGACAACTTAACAAAATTTGTCACGCGGACCACCCTATAAGGCTTTACATCCCCTACATCCTCCGATGAGTATGCATAATCTGCAATCAGCCAAAGTGGGGATGAAAATGAAAAAATACAGAAGCTGTATGGAGTCTTATTAATGAATTATATGAAAATTATATAGAAAATACCTAACTAGTTATTTGAAATCATAGATACTAAAAACTAGAAAATGAATTAAAATTAAAAATACATTTCTAAAAACAAGCTTTAATTTAGGTATCAATAAAGTGGTCTGAAAATTATTTTTTTTTTTTTCGGTTGAAAATATTTAAACGATAATAGGTCCTCATCTCAAGTTTCCAAATAAACTCGTGTTACACACCCTCTTTCCAGCCGGCTGTCAAAACGTAACATGCTTTCATTTGAAAATTTAAGATGAAGGAACTTGTGTTTTGTTTAAATATTTCCAATCGGAAAAAGTATATTTTAATTTCTAGATCACTTTATTAACATCTAAATAAAGGTTTGTTTTTTAAAATGTATTTTTTCATTTTATTGATTTTCTACGTTTTACTATTTATTGTGTCAAATCACTAGTTTGGTAATTCCTATATGATGTCCACATAAATCATTAATAGGACTCCATAAAACTTCTTATTTTATTTGTATTATAAAATTCCGATAGATATAAATCGCATAACGATAAATCGATATTTTGCGGCGATCGCCATATGGAATTTAGAATGACATTATTTGCATATTAATAATTGGACACCAAAAATCGCCATTTAACGACAGCCGCCATATTGGATTCAGAATGACGTCAAATTGATTATTTTTCCCTCATCAAGCCCTTTCATTTCATACCCCTAGTATAGTGGTGACTATGAAAAATATAAATCGCCATTTTGCGGTGGCCGCCATATTGGATTGAGAATGGCATCACTTTCATTTGATACCTAAATGATATGGGTTACTATGGAAATAATGAATCGCCATTTTGTCAGAGGGAGTCCCCGTCGGGGGTCTCTCTTGCCAGTCTACCCTTTGCGGAGACAAGCTGCGCTCTACAGTGGCAAGTAGAGTGATTACCTTCTTTTTATGAGTACTTGTGTTTTATGATCATCGGCCATTTGTAGAACAAACCCTCAAGTCACAATCGTGACAATATCCACATTAAACATTAGCACAAAACACTTACCGGAATATAAAAAAATAACATCACCTTAATAGATCTATACGCGACTAATTGGCAACTGCAAATCACCTAAATTGAACTAAATATAAGAACCGTAAGCAAGGTATACCTGTCAACCTCACAACTTGGAAGTACCGAACCAACAAGCGCGGGCAGATAGTAAACCTTTCATTTGAATATAATTCAAATGGATCTGTGAACAAGGTACATTTCTACCTGTCACAACGTTTTATCACGGTACTTTCTACCTGGACAGGGTAAATCTTGCAAATCCTGATAAGTAACTGACTGGCTGTATTACGAAAGTGTATATCCGTATACTGGCGAAAGATATTAGCTTTAATGAAAGGAAATCCCTGGTCCCATAGGCAAAATCTTTACTAAACCTGTTTACGTCATTATATATATATATATATATATAATACAATAATATATAATACAATAATAATATTCACATCAATTATAAATTGCAAATAAATTGATATGCCACAAAAGGAAAATATCCTTGTGCCTGGATATCATTGTAATACATAATGTAACACATTTATAACACAGTACATCCTTGCAATAAATTGATTGATAACTACTAGAAAAAAATCGATATAATGTAAATATAATATAGGAATTTTGTGTCACAGATTAGTAATGCGGAAAAGATATTTGTGTTAGAGTTTTGGCAAATTACATCATGCGTATATCAGTATTGAATAAATGATTTCAACATAATTTCCTTTTTTGGTGTTGCATTTATTATTTGTTCATTTTTATTTCTAGTATCATATTCATAAATGATCGAATGTTTGTTTGTAAGGAATTCTAATGTAGCGTTATACCAAAATATTTTTTTATATTCAAAAGTATTATTTCTAAAAGCAGCGATTTGGAGGGATATGATAAAGGTGTCTTATGCATTGTTTTTATGAATAATTTTCGTATTATTTGTCAAGAATTTAGAAGCTTGTTATTCGTGCATCCCCAAATAACCATTCCATAGTTTATATGGAATTCAACTAGTGTTTGATATAAAAATTTTAACTGAGCTTTTATTGAAAATTTGTTTGTTTCTTTGTAATACATTGAAAATGTTCGTCCCAAAGAATATACCGAGATACTTATGATTTAGCTTTCGCGATATACATATAAAAGTATATATATGCGTATATACGAGCCCCTTCCCACTTCAGTTGGCTCACTTCAAGATTTGTACCAAAATATGCCTTTATAAACTAAACATGACGAAACTATTTACTTCTAAAACAATTTATTTTCTCAAAAACATTTTAGATACACTCTAGTCGTGAAAAATACATATTTGAAATCACTTAGACCTATAACTAATAGAACATCTGAACAAATAAACAATGTGCGAATAAATGCGCGAAGTTAACAAAGCAACAAATGAAAGATTACCATTGGGTAACATCACCTTTATTTTTTATTACGGCTGAAATTCTTTGGGGCATAGTGTTAACCAAGTTTTGGCAAACATTTGGTGTAAAACAATCCCATATTTCTTGGAGCTGTTGTCTCAGTTCGGTGAATGTACGAGCAGGATATTGTCGTAGAACCTTTTTCATCTCGTGCCACAAAGTTTCAATAGGTGACAGATCTGGACTGCTAGAAACCCATTTCAAAAGTGGTACATTATTTTCTTCCATCCATTTTATAGCCTTTTTTGAGGTATGACACGCTGCACCATCTTGCTGAAACACAAGATCCTGGCCTGATGTCAAACATTCTTCCATCACTGGTAAAAGCGATTCTTCTAAAATTGCCAAATATTTGTTTGTATACACATTTCCATCAATAAAATGAAGTTTTCCTACTCCTTTTGATGACATACTGCACCAGACCATAATGGATGCTGGAAATTTTCTCTTCAGACAGTCAACATGGAATAATTCATTTTTTTGCGAATAACTCTACTGCGACTGTCACCAACACAAACTTCGAATCATATTCTCTTTGTAGATCCTTTGGGCTTGAAGTACCACAGCAAGTGGCTATAACCGGCCGCGTGGTGGTGGTTAGACGTCTCCTTGAAAATTCGAGGTCGTATAGCCATTTTATACTACAATGTGTAGGTTGGCTCTTGTTGTGGACTTCGTGTGTCGTTTTTTTTTTCCTCCAACTTCGTTTCCTCAGGTTACACCCGTATCCGGATGTGTGGGCATGTGTATCTATTTTTGTAGTTTCATATGTGCATTCATTTCAGGCCTGATGAAGCCAACCAGCAGAAATACGTATCGCTCGGGTTACCTATCCTATTTTCTGCTCGAATCCACTTTCCTCCGTTTTGCGGATTTTGCCCATTATTTTCCTACTTGTTGTTATATATATATATTAAAAAGAATGGGCGCAAATATTGTTCCTTGTAGAACTCCAGACATTAGAGTAATTTCTTCACTAATTGTTATGTGTTCTGATATGCAAATAATTTTGAAACAATTTAAGTGGTGTACCTCTATTTCCATTACTTTATTGTCTAAGAATACACTGTTCTTCTAGACGATGCTTTATTTTAGACAACATCAAATTGTAGAAGAAAATTTGAAGACAAGATTTTATTTACCTAAAAGCAGCAGCGTAGGCAGAAGCCTAAGTATCAGGGCATCGCAGCTGTTATGAGAAGCATAAAGAAATTTTGTTAACCCAATTTTTGTCTAAGATTAGAACTGGAAAATGGCAGATTGTTATCCGACCAGTTATGAATGTATGAAGTGGACACGGTTAAGATGGGACGCCCAACTCAGGCGGTCATCATAGAGGAGAGCTCTGAAGAACGAAGCCCGTTGGCAGAGCGATTGAAAATAGCTAGATCCATTATAGAAGAGTAATCGATCAGCCGGGTAGGCCACCTCTAAACAGCATAGGGCATATTTCACGTAGTCGGGCTGCAGCACCCCAAACATGTGAGCAGTACTCCAGGCTGGGTCTTATCTGGGCCTTGTACAGAGTGAGCAGCTTATGCGGATAATGGTTAGGACGCTTCTAGTTAATCAAGGTGCAGTACCAAATTGTTGCATCCCCAAGCAGTGATAACTTTCAAGTCTCTCGTCAGAGGGCATGTCAGTTCTAGTCTTCTTTTCTCCAGCTCACCGGCAGAGAATGGTTTGCGCTCTTAATTCCTTCATGTAGAGTGATATCAGCTGCAGAGCTGTGGATTGGATTGATCGCACAGGAAAGACGGTCATGATATGTGATAGAAACAGTGTCGGAGTCAAGACCGATCACTCCATCGCCTTATAACACAAAACAGAACAATAGGTCTGCAGTTCAGATCTGGCACGAACACCCCTTGTCAATCACGACAGCTGTGGGAAAAAGCTAAGCTATTTCTTTAGGCCTAAGAAGCTCTTTTCTCCACATAACCTCCTCACTCTGTACAAGGCCCAGATAAGATCTAGCCTCGAGTACTGCTCGCATGTTTGGGGTGCTGCTGCATTATCCATCCTCGATGCTGTTC